AAATCAATGAAAGCTATGGAGGAATATGAGAGGAAGAACAAGGAGAAGACAAAAGAACTCCAAGATCTCCAATATGAAAAAGTTTCTTAGGAATGGAGCTATTATTCAATCCAATGCCATGCACTTGCACAATTAGCAATGGATGCTCGATGGACTTTCCTAGAAACCATGGCCAATGGATGGGTTGTACCTCGTTTCCCTTTACCCAATTAATCCAAAATGATGGCCACTCCATTGGCCATAGCATCAGCACCTTGTGCCTAACATGAGGAAAAGCCTTTGACATCAGTGAGGGTATAGGTGTGTCGGGGAAGCAGAAGAGCGCCCACTCTGTGGGCATCAAGTTGTGCGGATCATGATTCATAGACAACTGCAATTAGTTGATTATTGAGCTCATGGGAGGGATTTGAGGTACCAGGGGTATGCACTCGATGGCTAGGGGCACCCCCAGGATAGAAACACCACCCATAATAGGCTGATTAGGGTCGCTGATAAATGCCACTGTGGCTACTGGAAGTTGTGGCGTCGTTGTCATTGGAGACATGAACGACGGTGCAGCACTGCTTGGTTGGCACAATCAGCCGAACGTGTCATGGGCATCTGGTTGACGGAGTCAAGAAGCACAACATAGAGTACCTCGAGGACCTCCTAGGTCATCGCTAGGGAGGCTGAGATGTCGGAGATGACTACCACAGAGGAAATAACCTTAGTAGTAGTGGTGTTGCTGCCGATGGAAGGTGCCATCGTGAGCTGCTCGACTTCCTGATGGATGGGATCGACCACGAACTTGGAGTGGACGGTGGTGGTGGTGTAGTGCATGTCATCGACGCTGGTGACGGCGTCAACCTAGGTCAATCTCCCCATCGAACGGGTGGAGGGTGCCATCTCGGTGCAGATTGGGGATGTGTCGTGGGTGATCACAGTGACCTCCCGGGCCTGGGTGGTGGTTGGGAGGGCATCGGGAATGACCGTGGTAAACAAGGGTGTCGTCGATGAGGCCGCCATCTGGCGTCGTGCCATGGGACACGCCGACTGCGGGGTCAAGACGCTCGAGAGGATCTTGGATATCAGCGTGAACTGCATGTCCATGGCGTCGTAGTGCACCAGGGTCCGCACATAGTAGCCGTCTAGATAGGCCTTCAACTCCGGATGCATGGTGATGGAAGAAAATGACGAACAAAAAATGGGTAGAAATAGGAGGAACTCGAGCGGATTTGAGACAATCGGAAAGGTGGAGGGCGGCTCTGATGCCACGATGTTAGGTACCCACTCACGAATCACTCGAATAACTCCATTACATGGAGATTAAGCTCAGCTACAGAGATTGGGGAAGGAGGAAGGAGGAAGTACATGAGATAGAGGAGGGTAGGGAAAGGAGGAAGCTGTCATGCTATGCCATTCTGATCCAAGCCTGGATGGTTGGCTCGTTGCTTTCCCCTGTGCTAATTTTCGACAGCCCACACCCAGACCCATGTGTTGGTCACTCTTGGTGGGCTGGCTCCCTTATCGTGGGTCGATATGGCCATAGAAATATTTGGGTCACTCACATTGATGGACGGGAGATAGGGAGGGAAGGACGTGACCATCAATTAATCACGGTGCTAAGGGCTTCTCCAACGCCGACCCGCAAATATAACAGGTATATGTTTGTTTTGTGTGTGGATGTGGTCCGCAGACATGATGACGAAGTGATACATCCAATGCTAAGCACAAAGTATCCAGTTGGGAGGAGAAAAAGTAGGTGAGAACCATACATGTGGTGGCTATTTGTGGTGTGGTGTTCGGTTGGAAGGAGAGAGAGGAGAGGCAGTGATTAAACCACCTCCCGGCTAGCCGGGGCGGCTGCCCGGGCTCTTCCATGGAATCTAGCTTGAACAACAGCTATAAATATATAGCTAACCATCATTTTTAGGGGCCACCAACTAACAGACTAGAGCGTAGTGTACTTTGCCCCGGCTCTCCGACCGAACTAGCTCCGCCGCTGAGGAGAGGGGGACCATACATGTGAAGAAAGAAAATAGAGGAGGACCATCCAAAGGCTTTTGGTTGGTCAAATGAATGTCCGGACTCCGGTATATCTTCCCCACTTTGTCTTTACTCTGCTGGAAAATAGATGTCCGAACTGCTTGGCGGACCGTACGGGTCCTTATTGGATTGCAAAAGTGAATAAATATGTTCAACCAGACATATACCAATGCTTTGCGGGCATAGTTTAAGAAACCAGACCGGACAGCCAATCGGACCGGGAAAAACCCAAACCGATAGGCTTAACGGTTTTCTAAGCTTTGTGGACCGTTCTGCAATCGAACTGGTGAAAATCGGTTGAACCGCCCGGTTTTGAGGAAAACCGGATGATAAACCAGACCGGCTGAACCGCTAAAAGGATGAGCAAAAGGAAAATATATTTGCTAGTATAAGGGAAATGTATTTCCTACGAGCTGAAGCGGCTATACCTGACCCAATGACTAACTGGGCTACGATTAGTTGTTGTACACATCAAATAAATCCACCACTTACCTTTATTCTGTTAGAAAATTGTACCTACCGAACCATCCTCTATATGGACGAACCGACGGTCCAATCGGTGAATACCTGGACCTTTGGGCTCACCGGTTCAAGGCCGGTTTTAAAAACTATGTTTGTGGGTCTCCCTTGAAGATGCCCTAATAGAAAGGTGACTGATAGGCGCCGGTCAACTGGCAGAAACCCTGCGCCGGTAACCTACGAGCCGTTCGATTCACCCCATCCCACACCGTTGATTTTCCCTCTTCTCCTTTCTCAGCCTAGTCAACGCATCCCTTCCCTTTGCCAGCTAGTCACCATGCAGGTCCTACATCGGGGGCTCCTCGTGAGGCACGACGGCCGCATTCGTTGGCGTAGTTGTCAGTCGCCCTCCGGCAGCACCCGCGTTCTATAGCTTCAAGCTTGCCACCGTCGGCTGAAACATAGGGCGTGTTTCGTAGCTTGTCGCACCGCCGACGTTGATGTAGTCACCACCGCCCGCCAATCCAGCAAAAAATGACCGGTTCATCCTCGCCGTCGCCGTCGCCGTCGACGCACCGACCGTCGAGCAGATGCAGCATCCACATCGCCGTCGCATCACGGCTCACATCCCCCCTCTCGCCGGTTGCAGGAAACCAGGGCGCATGTCCCAGCATCGTTGTCGCGCCCTCCGCCACTGTTGTAGCTCCTGGAGTTGCCGGTTCCATCAATTTCGCTCGCCGGATGCAGCAAAACAGGGCTCTAGTTCCGGCATCCTTACCGCGCCTGCCGATCCCTTGTAGCTCCCGGAAATGCCGGTTCCAGCACGCTGAGATGCTGGTTCCAGCAAAAAAGATACATGGTTCCAGCAATTTTCGTCGCCATTGAAAAATGCATGGGTCCCAGCAAGCTGCCGTTGCGCGGCGTCGCAGCACACCGCGACATCAATTCCAGCAATGGAGGTCGACGGTCCCAGCATTTTTCTTTGCCGGATGTAGCTCAGCATGCGTGTCGTCGTAGCATTTTTTTGGCCATTTCCAACAGTGGAGGTCGTCGATTCCAACATTTTCACCGCCGGTTGTAGCTCGCCATCCGTGCCATCGCAGTATTTTTCGCCGTCGGTCGTATCTTTTTCTTCGCCGTTTCTAGAAATGGAAAATGCCGGTCCCTGTATTTTTCGTGGTCGTGCATGCCTTCTTCGTCACATGACGGCTCCACCGCTCCAGCACGGCCGGTCGCCGCTGACACTGGGTGGCGAGGTGGCCGCCAAGGCTCACAACAACCCCACTTCCCCCACCTCACGGCTGCCGCCGCAGCTCCCCAGTGCCGCCGCTCCAGCGCGCTGCCGCAGTTCCTCACTTCCCCTGATGTGTGGTGGAGAAAAAAGACGAAGAAAGAGGTCAGGGAGAGATTGAGCGGCCGAGAATGAGGGAAGGATAAGGTTGCCGCCGTTTTTCTCTTGTGGGGCCCCCAGAAGGACGCGTGCAAAGGAGCCGAGCTTGGTTTGCGTCCCTTCGATCAGGCCTAATCTAACGATCAGCACCCATCCAGCCAAAGTTTCAGCCGGTCTGCCCGGCAGGGAACGTTTCCCTAATAGAAACCATGCTCAACATACACGTGGGGGACTTTTACAGGACGGATGCACATGATGGCCAAGAGGGAGAGAGCAAATGGAATATGTTCGCATATATAGCTATGAGGTAAATATAAACTATGTATATGTTATGTCCATGTATTTGAACAAAATAGGATAACAAATGTTCATATATTTTGCACCTTTTTTTGCTAACTTTGAATTATTGCCCATAGCGAACAAAAATAAAATAAAATGTACAAACAAACGCGCACACTTTGCTGTGTCGTCCCTGATCCATAGCAGACACGCAGAAATTTAATTAGTTATTACAGCTAAAAGAAAATCAAAGTGATGCAAGGGTAGCGTGTACTCCTCCACTGGAACTGGAGAACCACACATGGGCATACCGCTCTAGCAAGCCTGCCGCCCGTGGATCGTGTACACGACCAGCGGGCCGCCCATCGAGACGTACGCGAGCATGTAAAAACCTGTATCTTCAGAACTTTGTCGTCTCTTCACATTCGAAGCAAGTGGTTGCTGACGTTGTTAAAGAAACTAGAGGCAAGGATAAAGCGACAAAAGAGTACTTTTCAGTGTAATTTTATTTTCAAAGGTCGTGCTGTCAACTATGACGCACATAGTTTTGATTTTTGCTGGGACGAAGCACACAGTTTAACCAAGTACTTTCTTTCATTGGGACGTGGACCTCATGTATGATTTGGCCAATCTCATAACACTTCTTGTATCCCACAATATATGTGATTTTTGATGAATAAAACTTGACCTTCCAAACAATTAATGTAAAAACCTCAACAGATTCTTAAAAAAAACCATTTAATGTAAAAACCGCAGGCAACAGCGGTCCGCGCGCCCGGTCCTGCCGCTGCTTTGGCTGCTTCCCGCCTGCGTCCTCGTCCCCTCCGCTATATACGGGGCCTGCCACATGCCATCCCCGGCGCCGGCCACTCAAAATCCACAGACTTTCCAAGGCAAAAAATCCCATTTCCCTACTCCGATCACCCTCTTCTTTCTTTCCTGCGACCGAGGGGATCGTCGATCGATGGCAACAATGGGCGTGGGCGGAGCGGTGAAGATGATCGTCGGGGCGAAGGTGGAGCGGGTGCTGGCCACGTCCAAGGCGCCCGGCGCTTGCCCGTCCTGTGGCGGCCCCGTGGTGGCGACCGACGTGGAGAGCGAGCGGCGCATCCTGTGCCTCCCGCTGTGCCTCAAGAACAAGCGCAAGTACTCCTGCACCAGGTGTTTCCGCCGCCTCGTCACCATCTACAGCTAGATCAAGCTTCTTCCAGCAGTATCGATCTGTCCATCCTTCGAATAGCCGCGTAGGGAGCCAATCAGTTAATCCGCTCGAGTTCTTTGGTTCTTCTTGGCCGTGGTTACGGCCCTAGAGTAGCTTGCTGGCCTGGCCAATGTAATGGGGATTCTGTGTTAATTCTTCTAGTACTCCCTCCGTTCAGAATTACTTGTCTCGGAAATGGATGTATCTAGAACTAAAATACGTCTAGATACATCCATTTTTGCGACAAGTAATTCCGAACGGAGGGAGTAGTTCTTAGCTGGTGTATTGATCGTTCTGCGTCATGTGAGGAGCGCTGCGATTGGCACTCTGCTGCAGTAGTAGCAGTTCTTAGCTGGTGTATTGCAGTAAGCTCCCTATCAATGGTGGCAGCCTTAATGCATAGGGCAGTATTGGAAATTTGGAATGCGCTTGCCGTCCGCCTTCATTAAGATGGCAATTAACGTACTGATGGGACCATTTCGCATGGATCGTACACGTATGCAGATACGCAAAAGTACATTGATCCGTCCCGATCGAGCCTCTATAGTGGTGCTCATTGCCGCCGAATCTCTGTCACTGGCTCACTGCATGTATTGTGCCGATCACTGGCCACTGCAGTAGCAGCAGCCACCGATAATGGTGACGCCTGGCTTTGGCCGGCCGTAGCATTCTACATGCTCCCACAAGCCACAGCAGCCGGCCGGCCGTTCGTCAGTCGGTCCGTCCGTTGGTTACCTGTTCCTTTCGGCGGCATATCACGTACTACGACTTAGTACGAGTTAAAATCCACACGATTAGACGGGCGGACGGACGCGTCGACCTGCGCATTAGCCGTCCCCCCAATCTGAACGCGCAAACGAGCGGGACGAAAGATGTGTTCAAGGTCCATTGGGATCTCTTTATTACTGGTTGCCGAAAGAAAAATTGATCTCTGGATTGTTTCGAGTTCCAGGCACCAAGATGCGTTCAGGGATTAATTACGATTATCCTCCAAACGAAAGGGGAAGGTTTGTGCGTGCAAGCCATGCGATGGGCGCCACAATTAGTCGGCGTCTAACGAGAGATCGCCACACATGTATAACACGATTTTATTTTTCAAGAGAGGCTCGCCGGCGAACCTGCATGTCCATACACCACAGAGAAGAGGGGGAGGGTAGGTAGAGAAAAAGATAGGCAAGTTTGCCCAGCACGTGTGGGCGGAAAGAAATACTACTATACTATACTACAGTAAGTAGAAATCGAGAACATGGATAGAGACATATGGATATGCAGATTCATGCATCGCGTCGCGTCGCATCGCATTGGTAGGGTGTGGGATGGCATGCTAGGAAATTGCGCCGCAGGAGTAACAGACGACCGATCGAGCTGCATGCATGGCTGTGCACTCGTACACGCGCTTCTGCACAAAATCGACCGATGTTGATGCTACTCATCTGCTCATGTAGATATTACTGCAGTAGTCTTGCGACTACTTGTAGTAGCTACAGAAGCAGGCAAGAAGCTTCGACGGACGCTGCGAAGGCTCCTTGTGATTGTGAATGAATGAAACAGAGAAAAGAGCACAGGGGATGGGAACCAGTAATGTGCGTGCGTGGATATCAGATAAGGAAGCCGCTGATTGGCTCGACCATGACCGAGTGGAACCAACTCATCCGAAAAACTGATAGCGACGACAGAGGACGTCGCTCGTCGCAACTGCCGAAAAACGGGAAGCTAAAGACCGGAGGTTGGGGTCACCGGCATGCGTCGTCGAGTCTATTTATGCGTCTCCGATCATATCTCGCGCCCACCACCGGCAGGTCGGGGACATTTACACGGGCAAGGAAGATTCGTACTAATTTCCCATCAGAATTAGCGTGCGTATTAAATTTCTCATCACCACGCAAACACGTCTGTGACAATATCCATCACCACCCACACGTGCATACAGGTCAATAGCATACAAATTAGGCCGGTTATAGTGGAGAGTAACTTATACTAGTGTCATACATATGCCATTAGTCTAAGTTACTACTCCATAGTGCAAAGTAACATAGTAGTAGTGTCATAGATTGCTTTATTTATTAACTCATAGACTCATTTTGACTTGGAAAGCGCTATGTTACAGTAACATATTTATGTACCACAAGCACCACTTTCCTTATTAAATATTTGCCAAATAAGCAAAATTGTCTTGGGATATGTTAAGTTACTAGTACCTAAGTTACCCCCACTATGACTAGCCTTAAAGGTCAATAGCATTTTACTCCCTCCTTCCCGATCTATAGGGCTTATCTCAAAAATTTCGGTTTTCCATTTTATAACTCTCAATTTGATTGTTCCCCATCACATGTTCAGATTTCAAAGTGCATTAATTCATTGCATGTAAAGATTATGAGAAACTTGACCAATGCATGCAGTTCATGCATGCATGCATTGCAATTAATGCATTGGTAAACATAATTCTTTGAGAAAAATAAACGCATTAATTGAGTTCTTTTACAAATCATGAAAATTATTCACCACTCATCGTCTATTTTGATTGGTGAGATTTTTGAATCGAGCTCTATAAACCGGAAAGGAGGTAGTAGCATACATTACATCCTTCAGCAGGTGTGCTGGTCACCCTCCCCTAGAAATGCAACAAGAGTGAACAGATTTAAAAGTTGCATTTCTAGCTAGGCAGATGGCACACGATGCCCAAATAGCGTTTGGCAATGCCCAAAATAATAATAAAAAGACGCGGTCGGTTGCATAACGCTATCCAAGGGCGCGCAATTTCAGCATGTGGGCGTATTGTTTGATGTGGGACTTTGTGAGGACAATCTTAGAAGCAACTTGAGAGCAACAACAAGTAATCTCTTCCGAGTAGCTTGGTTTACAAAGACAGGCCAAACCACAAAACTTGCAAACCCAAATAGAGTCGCTAGACGGTACGGCGCGGATCATAATGTGGATTAAGCACAAAGCCTTAAATGAACACAAAAGAGCCGGCACTCAACGTAAACTAGTGCTCGTACCAATATCACCAGTTGTCTGCAAACTAAGCTCGGAAGTAAGAAGTCTCATTCCCATCTTACGAGGAACATATAGGGAATATACCATAGTTTTAAATAGCCTATAGCCCGGTATAGTCTTTTCAGCAAGGTGCCGCTAAATGATTGCCTTCACAAATAGCCCGCTATAGCTCTGCTATAGCTGATTTGGAGACCGCCACTATTTTTCATAGTCCGCTATTTAAAACATTGGAATATACTTATAGTAGAGGCACCTAGTTACTAGGTGTGAACATGGCTCAAAGTGAATAAGACCCAGGTTGTAGAGGGAGCAAACTGATGAAGACTCACACAGTAAGGCTGGTTGTAATGGTAGTATCATAGCTAGTATCATGCATGCCAACTAGGCAATTTTAATGAGGTGTCATAGCATTAAATGAAAAAAAAAGGGTGGAGTATGATATCATGATACCGTATCATAATAAATGCTATGCTACTTTGTGTCACGCATGACAATAAATAAAGTAGTACATGATACTAATATATGATAGAGTCAATTACACCACAGGTGCCGGAACTTGGCAAGAAAAGTCAGTTTAGTGCTAAAACTTGCGGCATACATTGAACCAGTAACAAAACTTGGCTTGGGCGTGCATCTATGGTGCTAATCACGTTTGTATACGCATGGTGTGCTGATGAGGCACGTCAACGTGGCGCGGGCCCTAGTGTCGGTGACCGGAAGGCAGGAAGAAGGTCGTGTGGCCTGTTTTTTTTAGAAAACACCCTAGAATTATTTTTTCTTTACAAAAAAGCCCATGACTGAATACGCTGGAAAGAGGAGAGGAGGGGTGTGGCCTGGTTTTTGTAGGAAACACCCTGGAATTATTTTTTTTCTTCACAAAAAAAACCCCTGACTGAATACAAATCTTGGGAAAATCCCTTGAAATGTAACTACATCTCTATGACCCGGCCCACCCATCCGTCCATCGAAAACCAAGTGTCAGTTCGAACCCGCGACCTCACGATAATAAAACGATCATTCTAGCCACAACAACAAGGCCACATTGCTTATTATACAGGATAGCAGTAGTTAATAACTACAATCACGCACATGCGGCTTAAATGATCTGGAGCGACCGCGCCCCATTTTGCACACCATAGTTTTTCCAATTGATAAATACTATTATAATTCATATTTGTTATTTTAGTTATAGAAATATTTTTCCAAATAATACATAAATATTTTTCATATATTTTTAGAATTTCATGAATATTCTTTTAGATAAGAACAGTTTTATGAATTACGTGAACATTATTTTAAAAAGAATATTTTTTTAGAATTACATAAAATAATTTAGACAATAATGTTTTTTAGAATTACATAAACATTATTTTATTTGTATTTTTGCGGCTTTATATATAATATTTATAATTTAGAAAAAATAACACGTGAAAAATGGGCCATTTGGGCAGCCGACTAGATGGGGTCAGGTCTTTGGTTCGAACCTGTGAGGCACAATATTTTGCATATCAATTTGATCTTTGTAATAGTATCCTGCGGGATGGGACCCAAAGGTCATAGAGATGTATAGTGACGTCTCAGGGTTTTTTTAAGAAAAATCGAGGTTCTCTTTTGTGCGAAAATAAAAATTCCATCTCACACGCCCTCTCCTGTGTGGTCCAGTCACTGACACTGGGGCCCACATGGCAGTCTTGTTAGGGTGGAGTCACGTATATAGCTACCCTTGCCTAAAAAAATGTATATAGCTACCCCTGTTGACACCAAACTAGACTTGGTGCGGTGGTTAGCATTGTCATCTCCGTAGTGTGATGTCCCTGGTGCGCACCTCTTTATCTACATATATTATTATCTCTTCCTATTATTCCCTGACGGGTGGGCCTCAAGGGTCATAGAGACGTCGTTAAGTTTCACGGTATTTTTGCAAGATTTGGTATTCATTCAGGGGCTTTTCTATGAAGAAAAGAATTCCAGGGTGCTTTCTGCAAAAACCAGGCCAC